CAAATTTGGAAGCCTGGCGCCGCCACTGTCAGCCAAGCTTGTACATGCAGGTTCTTACTGGACCCACAGGATTAACTATCTCTGCGTTGCGGAGGCTACGGTAGGTACACGTTTGTATAAACGTTTGTTCAGGGGCGTAGGAACCGGGGGGGGGGGGCAGGCCCCCCAAGTTCTCAAAAGTGCCCGTTTTCCGCGGCCTCCTTGAAAAATGTCGTTCAGATTGCATTTTTTGCCCAAAGGCCTTTGATTTATTATTGCATTTGTTTTTTGTATTTTGGTATGTCCTGAAAAATTTTGTTATTTTCGGGTAAAATTATGTTACAGTATGTCCGGAAAATTTGTTGTCATTTTCGGGAAAAAATATGATATCTCTGGCGGGAAAAATTTTTTAGGTGCCTTTTCATTCGAAAAGTGCCCCTGAAAGCCTCCCCCCAACTTTTAGATGCTTCCTATGCCCCCCTGCTTTTGTTCTTTATTCTTTCGTACTATTCGTTTTAACACAGAGAGTATAAAACTGTACATCGTTGTGTTCCAAGAGCAATAAATAAAAGACGAACCACATGAGAAACACCTGCTTCAACACAATGTTTACACTGTTTGTCTGCATCTTTTGTGCAAAACGTGACCCGTTTCTCAGTGCCGGAGAAAAACTTAAAGCTGCGAAATCTTTCAAGGAGACGTTGGACTCGAGAGGATCTGCTGCAGTTGCATTCTAAATTCGAAAAAAAAGCCCACATTATTGTGCTGTTTTCCTCAAATTTTTACGTAGATTTTTTTGTCTTCCCGCGACTTCTTAGCCGAATCCCGCAATTTGTCTTCATTCATCCCGTTACGAAAATAACCGTTCTACAGCACCCCGCAAAACGTATTGCGAACCCCAGAGTGCGGAGCATTGTCTGAAAACATGCGGCAGACAACGCATTGCACAAACAACGTATTCCTGTTATATCTGCATGTCTTCATTTGAAATAAATGCGTGATAAATTTTCACAGGTGCTTTGAAAAACGAATGAAATAATATAATAATGCATGCACATAAAGCACTAGGAAGTGAAGCGCGCCATAGAAGGGTCTGGAAAGGACTTTGGAAAGTCTATTAAAAAAATCATTAATAATTCAGGAGGAAAACACAAAGAAAAATCATAAGCGTGTCGTGGTTTTATATGTGATAAAAAATCATGTTAATTTACATAAACTTTAGCTTTGATTTTCTCGGTTTAGACAAAGTTTATGAACGTAATGAACTCGTATAAGATGAGTCGTTTTTGAAGCCATTTAAAGCACTTGTATAGTCGTGTTTTATCACATATAAAACACTCCGCTACGCGTCGTGTTTTATATGTGATAAAACACTCCTACTCGTTTATTAAACAGTACATAAAGCACAGGAAAACGTGATAAATATATCTCCGTACGATATTATAGTATAGAGTAATTTTATTAAATATTTTGAGTGATTGTGGGTGCAAGATTACTTTACTAACGTTTTTTCAGTCAAAAATTGACTGCATATTGAATATTATATTGTAGTGTCTAGACTAATGATTTATAAAACATTTCATTTGGAGTGACTTCAAATATGACGTTTTAATATTAATATTATATGTTGTGACCATTTAGTGATTTATGAACATTTGCCGACTACTATAGTTTAATAACGGATATTTAAATACAGATTAAAATTAATCTATATTATAAATTGGTCTTGTTGGTGCCGCTCTCTTTTATGTTTATTCTAAAATATTCGCCACATACATAGCGTCAAATTTTCTAACATGAAAAAAACTGATAATTTTGAAACAAATTATTTTGGACTGAAGTCATGAACTGAACGATGTCTGAACGATGAATTTGAGGAAGTCCTGTGTTTAATCACCTGACTGTAAATGAAAAGTAAAAGATAAAGCCCACGTCAATGTTGACTGAAGGAAACAATACTTAATACACACACGCCTTCTTTGTCAGTAAACTTGGAAACGTGCTAAATTACATTGCCTGTGTAAGTTCCTGTCCTGTTGTACACAGCCTATATACATGTGATGTGATACAAATAAGAACATCCTGTAACGCCTTATGTTATCTTATTCTACAGCTCTCTCTAATTCATGTCAGCTACGATGATTGGTCTCTGGTATATTTCGTTTGCCTCGTTCTTTCTTGGCGGAATTGTAGAACAAGGACAAGGTATGTTGTGTAAATATTAAAATGCTTTTTGCAACTTTTGCATGTTTGGTTTATGAAATTATGCACCATGGGCTTTTGATAAAGTTTGTGAAATATAGCATTTATATTCTTTATTTGCACGTTTATTATTCTTTATTAGGCAAGGCCGGATTCCACGAGCGATTTTTCTGAGCGAAAAAAATTCGCGTGAAATGAGTTAATGCATGCACAGTAAATTTACTAATGAAGCTTTGCGAGACAAAAATCGCGAGTGAGTGTCCGAGTTGCTCTGACTGCGATGCGAAAATTCAATAGAGTCATTCATGCAGTGCGACATTTGTATTTCGCAGACACAATTTCTGGCGATGAAGTACTCTCTTGGAGTCACGCCTTCAGAGAGAAAAATGCATGGTATATTTTAACAGATATAAATATTCTTTCCTATGCACCCTAATAAAATTTCTAGTTGGCCTTGGCAGATCAGTGGCTCGTGTGACTGCAGGAAATGGGACAGACTTTGGGCAGACCAAATGTTTTTAAAGTTGTGAATGTGTTTTAAAACATGTCTCGTGGTCGGGAAAGTGGGACTGAAACCCCAGCACCGAAATGCAGGATTTCGCCATTCCTATGAGCTTATATTTCACATTTTTTCTCAAATGCTTCTGGAAGGCCATGATTGCATGCGTTAAAGTATAGCATGAGAAAATTTCAATTTTCTATTAACATGTTGTGTGAGTATTGAATGTACCTGGAATGATTCATGAAAAGTTTAAGTGAGTGAAGGTCCTTGGTGAGGAGGTTTATAGTACACCTTAATTGTGTGTAGGAACGGTTGGCAATAATTAATGTTCCGTGTTCATAAATTCTAAGTAGTTGACGATTGAAATCACTAGGCCCCAAGCGTTTGTCCGGAAATGTTTCTGGGCGGCTCCGACTGCACGGTCAATGTGGTACGAGGAAATTAAGATGCCACTTGCGTGAGTGTGCTTCCAGAAATGATTAAGAAAGTGAAAGCACGTTGAGTGAAAGTGTTTTGTGAGGAAGTTAGTTTGGACGAATGCACTCTTGTGTGTAGGAACGGTTGGCAACAATCTGTTCATAGTCTTCATAAATTCCTCCAAACTTTTAATTGTCATATATTTCGCTTATTTGTAAAGTAACATATATAAATATGTACACAGGATGGCGATGGTAAACGTAGGCAATTAACGCAATTACTACAAATACACATCTTTACTATTCAATTCCGCTGCACCAGAATCGCTGGGCCGCAAGTGTGATTCCTGCCAGAGGGCTTATATATAGACTATAGACTATAGTTGCATTTTTCGCAACTGCTCCTGGCTAGATCTAATAAATGTATAAAATTCACAATTTCCATCTGCAAAATTCTCCTACAAGATGTAGTTTGTAGATGCCAAAGCTAGATACAGGGCGCACAGATATTCCTGAGTCAAGTAGTCTTCCAGAATGAAGGATTTCCCCCTTCCCCCTATTACTAGGGCGCCAAGATTTCGCCCCGGGCCCTCAAATGTTTCTGGCGGCTCTTGGCTACACGCGTTAATGTGGTCTGAAAAACTTCCTGCAAAGATTCGAGAAAAGATTAAGAAAGTGACAGCACGTTGTGTGATGATCCTCTATCAGGAAGTGAGTTGGCATGAATACACTCTTTCTGTTTTATTAAAATTCATGCTCATTACAATATTCTTACTGCGTGTCTAAATTCTTGTTTTAAACATATTCTACTGTAGTATCACAAATACTAAAGCCGGTTTTCATTAGGCGGAATTTTGCGCGCGGAGCGGAATTTTTCTTTGTCTTGTGATTTCTCCGGTGGATTAGAAAAGACAAAGAAAAAATCCGCTCCGCGCGGAAAATTCCACCTAGTGGAAAACGGCCTTATACAGAAGTGAGATTGAATTTTGAACCTTGTACATTATTAAACATATGGCGTTACCGTAGTCCATAAAAAAGAATTATAATGTTGATGAACTTCATCCTTTATAATTTTAATTTTCTTTAAAACTTCTTAGTCTTCTGTATATTCTTAATACATTCTCAAAAAATTTCGTAAATTCACTTGTAGAGTACTGACTATTATAGACAATTCCCTGTCACTGGGTCATGGTTAAAACAAATCCTCCATTCCTCCAACACAACTGCATGCAAATAACATAGGGTCATAAATAAAAAATATTTGATATATGTAATACCATAGATAATAAAATTAATTTATTTTACAACCATGGTGATACATATAATTCATATAACACTCTGAACGCTCGAAAAATCGTATTTCCAAACAAGGAAAAGTCTGTTGAAGTTTGTCTATAACATCTCAAAAATGAGATTTTTTAGGAAGGATACGATTTTAAAGTTGGTTTCATTTATGAATTATGGACGCTTTTTACTGATCTGCATGTGGGCTTTTAATTATCATTTTCCAAACTACGCTGTCTCGCTGACTAATTTCGTATGTTTTTCTCATGAATTATCAATGAACTTGAGAAGTGATTGTGACAAACGAACTATGATCAATGCATGGATTAGGTCCTCCCAAACTATCTCGACAGCCCTGGGCCCCTGACAGAGAACAGCCAGGTTCGTTGAATAACGGTTCAAATTCGGCTTGAGTCCACGTTGCCAATACAGTGTTGACTATGCTGGGTTTCTATACTATGAATGCATATAAATGAGTGCATATATTTAACATTTCATAATTATCGTGAAATTTAATTTGGCTGGAAATTTTTTTTATTAATTTTATATTTGATTAATGGTTGGCGCAATTTTGTTTTTATTACGTGGGACTAGACGTCAAGTGTTTATTGTCGATTTCCTGCAGAAAATGTCGATTTATCACACAAGAGTTTATCATTAGGGATTTTATCGCAATAAGTGAAACTTTCAATTTGTTCAAAACCTTTGTCTTTGAATTTCTAAATCACCTCACTGCGTGTATATTTTGTGATATTTCATTCTTTTTATTCGCCTTAGTCCTTGATGGCGACGGCTGCTCTGGTTGATACAGAGGTTGATGCCAATACATTCTGTATCTCGTTTTACAATATTTCTCATCCTTTGTCTCCAAATTATTTGTCGTTTTTCTACTGAATGTCTCTAAGCTCACCTGACTAGATCTTCCTCTACACTCTATCCTGGCCATCCTTTTCTCTTATGTTTACCACCCTCGGGTCTATTTTCACCATATTTCTCCGTCTCATCTTCTGTCTCCAAATTATTTGCCGTCTTTCTCTGACTGGATCTGATCCTGGACATCCTCTTCTCTTAGGGGCCGATTACATGGAGAATTTTCAACCCCGGGGTTGAACTCAGCCCTGTTGACCGGGTTGAAATTTTTTGCCATTACATGGACGATTTCAACCCCAGGGTTGAAACGTTATACTATACGTTCTCGGCATCGATTCGTGGAAGTAAAAAAAGCCTGTATTTTGTTTTCTTGTAATAAACAGTCACTACCACGTATGCTCGAATAAGTCATGATAATTTCAGCCCTGGGTTGAAACGATTACATAACAAAATTTTCAACCCAGGGCTGAGTTCAACCCCGGGGTTGAAATTTCAACCCCCGGGGTTGAACTCAGCCCTGGGTTAAAACTTTTGTCATGTAATCGCGCGTTTGATTTTGATAGAGTTTTGTATTACAGACAGGGCTGAAATTTCAACCCGGTAAACAGGGCTGAGTTCAACCCCGGGGTTGAAAATGCTCCATGTAATCGGCCCCTTAGATGAAGTACCTTCAGAACGTTTTTTTGAGGATATCTCTTCCTCTCTCTCCCGACTGTTCGTCATCCTTCCGTTCGCACGACCGAATTCTTGCTACTCGTATGTTCTCTGACATGGCACCAACGCCAACTTCCCCTCTCCCCTCCCCCACGACCTCACTAACTTGTATAAACCAAACTCTTCTTCATAACTTTTCTTCAATTTTTTCACCATAGGCAAGCTGACAACAGACGGTGATATTATACTGGGTGCTTTATTTCCAATACACATGATTGGAAACACTGAAAGAAATTGCGGAGTCTTCAACGAGCTAGTAGGTTACCAGTACATGGAAGCCATGCTCTACGCCATGGACAAGATCAACAATCGAACCGATATTCTACCTGGAATCAAACTTGGCGCCATCATTTACGACACTTGCCGAAGCCCGACAATCACTGCCGACAAAACAAAAGAATTCATTAAAGTGACTCTACAACCTCCCAAGGTCAACGGCTCGGAATTTGCCGGCGTTATCGGCGCATTTAAAAGCGGTAATTCGGTGCTTGCTGCCAACTTTTTGCGCGTATTTCGCATCCCACAGATAAGTTACGGATCTCTGTCAGTAAAACTAAGCAACAAGAATGTGTTCAATTATTTTCTTCGAACCGTACCGCCTGACAGTTTCTTCGCAGCAGCATTGGTTAAGCTACTCGTGAGAATGGGTTGGTCGTACGTTTCCGTTGTATTCTCGACCGGAACTTGGCCGGAGACTGGGGCACAGGAAGTGGAAAAGGCTTTAGAACGTAGCAAGGTAAAGCATAATAAAGATAATGCCGACGTTGCCGAAATCTGGCAGCTGCGGCTTGAAGGATATACAAATATAAATTAGTTCGAAAATTGATCATTAACGACCTTACGATGTGACAAAACAAAACTGCCATTTTGGTGAACGCTGAACGTAAATGCTTGCTCTCGTCGACATTTCTAAAGTTGACTACCTTCTGCTGCCCACAATACTTCAGTTCACCAATACAGATCAGCATACAGTAGAGTTGTGCCCTGCCAGGGACCTGTACTTGCATTCTTTCGCAGCTGTTCCTGGTTAGGTGTAATAAATATATATAAATTTCCACTCGATAATTTCCGTCTACAACTTTTTTGTGCCAATACACCCATCCAGAAAGTCACTTAGACCATAGAGCCTCGCTGTCGTGTGACGTTAAAGTCCAACGTCAATCACGAAAATGAGGCTCTATGGCCAAGGTGTATTTTCGACGGACAAACATAATCTCCTTTACAGATCTGTGTTGGGAAGAGTATCAAACTATCTCGCTTTCCTAAACATGAAGAATTTGTTAAGACTATTAACTCGTTAACCAGTGATGATGGACAGCCAAACATAGTGATTCTCGTCACCATTCAACGCGATTCACATGGACTCCTGAAGGCCAAAAAGAAAAACCCGCGTGGTTCGAGACTGTCCCTCGTGGGAAGTCTCGAGTGGAGTAACCGCAGGGATATCACGCAAGGTGTGGAGGACATAGCGGACGGAACAATCGCATTCGGACATCGAGAAGGAACGATTCCTGAGTTCGAGGAATACTTTCAAAGTCTGACGTTCAACAACTACAGCAGAAATAATAAAGAGTGGGTCGGAGAATATTGGCAGATGACGTACAAGTGTAAATTAAAAAATTTTTCAAAGCCAACAAATTATACCAAGGAATGCACGGGAAATGAACCGAACACAGGGTAGAGTTTTCTTTATTTTGTCTGAGCCCTGCATATGATTACGGGTCGATGTAGACTAGCCAGGATTGATAGTATTACCCACGTAAAAACGCACAATTGTAAACAAACCTGCAGCAGACTTGCAGCAATACTGTTCCAACAACTTGTCATCAGAATGTGTTCGGCTTGTTGACAACTTGCTACAAGGTTGTTGAGCTCAACAGACTTGTTACAAGTTGTTCCCAACAACTTGTTGTCGTCCTGCAATTCAACAGTTTGGCAACAAGTTGTGGGTAAGAACTTGATAAAATAACAACATTGTTACAACTTGGTGACAAGGTTGCTACAAGCCTGTTGCAAACACGTCTTGTTGACAAGTTGTGAGATTTTTACGTATGTACTAGTGTGAAGGAATAGAATGTGGGGTTGTGACGATTATTAAAAATAGCTCCAGCAAAAACATTTTCAATACGCATTGGTTTATACTTAAATATGTCAATTTAATATTAAATATACGGGCGTAATAAACATAAACATATTATTTTTCAGGTACAAAGAGCTCGCGCCAGTCCAAGTGGTAATCAACGCGGTTCAAGCAATGGCGAATGGCCTTGATGCGTTACAGAAACACTTGTGCCCTAATACAACCAAAATCTGCGACGAGATGCGGCCGTTGAACCGACCTTTGCTGTTGGAATTTCTACGCAATGTAACTTACAAAGATGCCGCATTTCATTTCCCTGTGTCGTTTAATGCGAAACAAGAAGTGGATGGGAACTACACTATATATAATTTTCGTTGGAATAACGGATCCTATGAATACATCCATGTCGGATCCTGGGTTAGTAAACTAGATTCTCAAGGTAATATAACGGGCACCCTGTCGCTTGACGATTCAAAAATACGCTGGGCAAATGGAAGTAAGACAGTACCGTTGTCTACATGTAGACCAGAATGCGCGCGCAATGAGATTATCAACGTCCTCAAAGACAAATGTTGTTATAAATGTCACACGTGCGGAACTAATGATATAGTCGTGGACAACACGTGCAACACATGTGGCGAAGGTTATGTTCCAGACTTGAACGTTTCGATGTGTATGAAGCTTCCTTTGAAGTATGTCAACGTGGACACTGTCCTTGCAGGACTCTTGGTGTTCTTCGCTTGCCTCGGCATGCTCACTGATGCAATTGTTTTTGCAATATTCTTGAAAAATTCAAACAACAAACTCATCAAAGCGTCAGGTCGTGAGATGTGTTACTTAATGTTTGCCGGTATCTGTGCAGTCTTCATAGTGCCTTTGGCCTCGCTATCGAAACCCACGGAAGGACTGTGTTATTTCCAACGTTTTATAATGGGTCTTTCATTCACGGTTTGTTACGCTCCGCTTCTGATGAAAACGTTCCGGATTCATCGAATCTTCGCCAATCAGCTTCGTCGATTGACATCGAGCAATTTGATTGGTCGACGGTCTCTTCTGATTATCACGACAGGCCTCATTGCAGTCCAGGTATTGTTCTGCGTGCTCGTCTTCACCTCAGATCCACCAACATTGCTGGAGAAGTTTTACCCTCAACGAAACGAGTTAGTACTCGAGTGTGAATTCAAGAAGACAACCTTTGCGATATACTTCACGTATAATGCTGTGTTGATAGTCTGGTGCACTTTCTACGCTTTCCGTACTCGCCATTTTCCCAAGAATTTCAACGAAGCCATGTACATTGGGATTACAATGTATCTGACATGCGTAGTCTGGGTGGTCTTCTTTGCGACGTTTCTCAACGCAGATTACAGTATTTCCCGCGTTTATTGGCTATCTGCAACAAGCCTTGTGATTGGTTGGATTACCCTCTTGGGACTGTTCGCGCCAAAAGTTTACCAGTTGTACACAAAGAGAGAGTTCCCACGAGGAATGTTGATGACATGGGGCGATACGTCGTTTCCGAATGTGGAAAGTTCCGTGGATATTGTTAACACATGTCACCGTTGCCGCGACACGGATGAGCAGGAGAAAGGCAGCCAGGGATCACGTGACGAGGGATCACGTGACGAGGGATCACCTGACGAGGGATCACCTGACGAGGGATCACATGATAACAAATCACGTGATATCCCTCTTAAATCCACTGGTGAAAGTGGTTTTGTGAATTCTGCAAGCGAATGATATATTGACAATGTAGATACAGATTATGGGAATATGGGATGATAATAATAATAATAATAATAGTTTGATAATGTTAACATGTACACATTGCAGTCAATAGACTGAATTACGTGCAAAGTGACAATAAGCAGTACATTATATGTTTAAAATATACATTTACATTTTATAAAATTTACGTATGGCCAATAGGATATTGAGTATAGCCTATAGAATAAGGAGTAGGGTGTAGCCTATAAGATATAGGATTTTATCCCTAGGATATAGATTATATAACTCAACAGTTTTGGTATAGATATGCGAATGATTCAGATCTATTTTTGATTAATATTTTGTCAAAGGGCACTCATCATTAATTTTTTTCATAACAGCAAGAGATCTTAAAACACGCGGCATATGAAAGAAGTGAATTATCTCGGCAAGGATCTTTACTGTTCTGACGACTTTTTCAAAATAGGTTAACAAAAAAGGGTCATGTCACCTTTGATCTTTTGCGATATACTTATAACGACGGCGCCTTGTGTTGTGTCTTTGAATGAGGCCAAGAGCTACAATGTTTCATATTTTTTAATATTTTTATAATTTTTATATTAAAAATTACCGCCTATAAGTTAAGCTTTATTTTCAACAGTAGCTCTTGGCCTCATTCGAACCGACTCAACACTCATAGATATATTGTTACTGAAGGACAACTTTGTACGTTTATACAGTGCCTTGTGATTTCAATCGATAGATTTCTCAATAAAATAATGTTTCGCACATACAAGCACACTGATTGGCTAACCCCATGTTTATACTGTATATAACCAATAAAAACGCGTTTTTTTTACCGCCAGGTTTTTTGAAAATTAGATTAACCACTAATGTTTGTTTAAAAATCACTTAAAATTGCAATTAACAAATTGTGTGGCGGCAGAAAGAAAAGAATGAAAGAAAAGAATGAAAGAACGCTGTTTATGATACATTCGATAAAGTGGACTTGTGTGCAAAGAGAACGTATATTGATGGATTGCAATCAACGTATTGAGATTGATAAGACGAAGATGTAGCGGCCAATTTGGAAAACACGCTTCAAATACATGCTAATACAGCACAGTCGAGCAACTTGAAATACGCGTTTCTGATTGGTTGATAAACTAAATTGTTCACACGCTAATTGCACTTGGCGCGGCACGCTTATTCATCTCATTTTGTTTGTTTCACTTCAATATAGATTTTTTCATAAATTGGATGACAATGCAAGATTTTTCGTACTAAATAAATATCGTAAATTACCACGTGGCCTGTATGAATAGTTGTATGTTAATTCTCTGACATAATGCAAGTAACATACCTAAAAATAACGTCATCTAAGATTTTCACAGCCACATCTTGTAGACATCGTGCTTGCTCGGACTGGATTTCAAGTTAAAGTGGTTATCCTCTGAAAAATACGACACTGAAAGTAAGCAAAAATTCATTTTATGAAGAAAAAGGTCCAGCTAATACTAAATTTCCTTTAAAGGTATTTCTTAACCTTATCTTTATGAACCTTATCTTCGGAAGGGTTTGGCCCCATTTTCCCCCTACTTTTTAAATTTCGTGGAGGCTTTAGCCCCCCTATAGTCCCCCAGTCTCGCCGCCAACAAATATTCTCTTTATCGTTTCGCCTCATAATGTGCCTGACTTGCGAGGTCGAAACAGTTGAAGTGTGTTTCCAGTTTAAACCAAACACCTCAGGTTATCTCTCGATGTCCTCACACTAACACTGGGCCACATTTTAACCCATTTGAACCGCAAGATGGGACGTTAATCCATAAACCAGGCCATCTACTCGTGTTTCTTATTAATCCTTTATAATCTGTATGCCATTGCACCCCATGGCACCCTACTATGTTTTACTTTGTCCAATGCCAGATAATTTTACTGCTCAAAGCAAGATTCTTGGACGATATAGGGTCAAACAGACGATCTACCTATATATGTTTCTTGTTGGTAACCATGAATGCATGCATTAGTCTGCAAAGAGCCCCAATCACTGATCCAGTCAAATGTAGTACTAAAAAGATTCGTTTAAGGCCTCACATGCAAGTGTGCCCGCTTAAAGGAAATAAGGTCTGCTTCTTAGAGGGGATAATAATAGTGTTTTATTAACATCGGGACCAGAAGTCATCAGCGATATGAACTTCGACGTTTCGAGCAAAAGCAACATTGTTGATTTAATATTAATTCTTACATTTCTAACAAAGTGACATTGTTGTATTTTACTCGCAATACTCGTAATTCGGGTAATTAGCATTCTAACCATGGCATCGTTTCATATTGAAAAAGGTATTTTTATGTTGTAAAACAAATATTTTGTTGTCTTGACTTTATGAGCATTTATGAACAAACAAAACCTATTGTGCCGGGCGATGCCAATGTACATTAAAATGCGCATGTTTCAAAAAGCTAATAAATTAAATACATGAGAATATCCGCCAGATTATAATGTTGCCACTTAACTTACACCTAACTTGAACAAACTCCTATTCTGGTAATTATACATAAAATACAGCTCATAATCATGCAATATATATCCAATGCACACGTATAACTACTCTCAAAGCCTGACTCGTGGAAAATGTGAGTCGAGATACCTACCACGATATTTTCATTTTGAAATTTCAGTTTTAATTTAACACTTTGTTTACTCAGCACGCGCCATAAATTTTTAAATAAGAAAAGGGAAATTGGTTTATAGTATAATGTTAAGCCATAACTTTATACTTCAACGCTAATTGCATGCCCCTAAAAGCAAGACTGATAGCATAATTCCTCTCTTTTTAGAGGTGCAAGATTTTGGCCTTCTTAAAGAAGATGTTAAGAATCATTCACTTCACTTTTGCGCTTCAACTTTATGCTGCCTTTGCTTTCGAAAGGAGAGGTAAAAATTTCATTTATACCAATATACTAGCGAATGAAGAAACTTGTCCTTTTTTGACACTTTAAGATCGACGGCAGGCCACGGCAAACTTCAAATCGTATTTTGAGCTCGACTGTTGACTGGTCGAAGTTATAATAGGGCAATTTGTGCATTCAAATTGAAGCATGAATGAGCTACTTAACTGTCAAAATCGTGTAGAGCTTACCTTTAAATGCGGTCTGCCGTAAACGTCAATTATGCACCGCGAGGACAAGATGGCAATACAAATATATTATTGATCCATTTTAAACCAAAGAGCCATCTTTGATATTCTTGCATGATCTAGTGTTACTCCCCAACAGTAAGAAACATGAGTCCCAGGGAAAACCTGCGCTGTCTAGAAGAATCAAACTAGAACTTCCACATTCAAGCTTTGACATAAACACAGTCAGATAATCCCAGTCAGCCGACCCAGTGCATGACTTGCAAATCCAAATCCCATTTCCAGCAGCAAGTTTGCTGGTGCAAATCCCCAGTGTCCAAAATCCCATTTTCCCAGTGTCTAAAATCCCATTTTCTCAGTGTCCAAAATCCCATTTTCCCAATGTCCAAAATCCCATATTCCCAGTTTCCAAAATCCCATATTCCCAGTGTCCAAAATCCCATATTCCCAGTGTCCAAAATCCAATTTTCCCACTGTCCAAAATCCCATATTCCCAGTGTCCAAAATCCAATTTTCCCAGTGTCCAAAATCCCATATTCCCAGTGTCCAAAATCCAATTTTCCCAGTGTCCAAAATCCAATTTTCCCAGTGTCCAAAATCCCATATTCCCAGTGTCCAAAATCCAATTTTCTAGTGAAAAATATGCACATTCCAGCTCGTATTTAAATCTTTCACTTGACGTAGACTAGGACTAAATGATTTGTAACTTGACTTGGAGTTACAAAATAAGACTTGTGACTTAATGTGGACTAAATGACTTGACTTGGAGTTACAAAATAAGACTTGTGACTTAATGTGGACTAAATGACTTGACTTGGTAAGACTTGACTAAATGACTTCATTTGACTAGTTGGACTCGGACTAAATGACTTGCAAAATAGGACTTTCTTTGGTGCTGACGTATGATCTATTTCTATCATAAATCGCGTCATTTTCTTTGCATCAGGTGAACTGAGAACTGATGGCGACATCCTAATCGGAGGATTATTCCCAATACATGATATAGGAAGCGTCGGATCAAAATGTACCTCCTTTAGCTCGAACCCAGGCTACCAATACATGGCTACCAATACATGGAAGCGATGTTGTACGCTCTGGACACAATCAACGCAGATCCCGCCATCTTACCTGGGATCAAACTCGGTAGTGTGATTGCTGACACGTGCAGCAGCGAGGTGATTGCTAGCAAGCGAACGAGGAAATTCATCAAAATTATCTTCGTGCCTGAATCGACAAACTATTCTGAACTGGTCTCAGTTGTGGGCCCGATGTACAGTAGAAATGCGAAATTCGTAGCGAATATTGTACGAGTGTTTCATATTCCGCAAATCAGCTATGGCGCCATGTCTCACGAACTTAGTAATAAGGATATTTTTAACTACTTCTTCCGAACAGTCGCACCCGATGGATTCTTCTACGCAGCAATGGCCGCGTTCTTGGGGAGAATGGGTTGGAGATATGTGGGTCTTGTACACTCGGAAAAAGTTTGGAATCCACTTAATGCAGCTCAATTTGTTGACAAAATGAGACATAAGGGTATTTGTGTTGGGCCACAATTACACATATCCCCTCGTACAACTGACGAACATTTTGATAGATACATAGAGAAGTTGGTCTCGGATGATAAAGAACCTAAAATCGTGATACTTGTCACGTCCACGCGCGAGTCTCGCGCGATGTTGGCGGCAAAGAAAAGAAACGCGCGTGGAAATGAGCTGATGTTCGTGGCGGGAGTAACTTGGAGCAATCGCAAGACCATTACAAAAGGTGATTATGGTGGAATATAGAATAGGATGGAATGCAACACAACACGACATCAATATGAATGACAACACAACACAACACAACACAATAACAATATGAACGACAACACAACACAATAACAATATGAACAACAAAACAACACAAGTTCTGTTTGAGTTTTTCCAAGCCAGATACAATCTAACAAATTTCCTTATTGCAGATTACGAAGAGGTTGCCAAAGGAACATTCACATTTGGTCATCGGCAGGGTTCTATTCCTGAGTTTGAGGAATATTTCCATGCGTTACGCTACAACAACTACACAAGAAGCAATAAATATTGGATTGGCGAATATTGGCAGGAAACACATCAATGTAATCTACCCAAGCTTGGAATTCCTGCAAATTTCACAAAAAACTGCACTGGAGATGAGAACAACGCAATTTACAAAGAATTTGCTCCTGTGCAATTAGTTATAAATGCCGTTTATGCACTTGCAAACGCCTTAAACAGCTTACAAAAACATTCTTGTCCTAACATCACAGGAATTTGCTCAGAAATGCGCCCAATATCAACACAATTATTGTTAGAGTATATAAAAAATACTACTTTTGAAGATGCTTTATCTCATAGTAAGGCTTCATTTAACTCTCGCCAGGAAGTGGAAGGCAACTATACAGTGTATAATTATCGCTACATCAACGGTTCGTATGATTATATTCCCGTTGGCTCTTGGTCCGCCATAACTAACAATACACTAACTGAGAACTTGGTTTTAAACGAGTCCGTGGTCCAATCGGCGCATGTCAATGCTGTCATACCGCTGTTCGCGTGTAGACCTACGTGCGGGCATGGACAAATTCGAGTCTCGCACAGGCCAGGCTCTGGGCCAGGCTGTTGCTGGGTTTGTCGCACATGCGCAGAGAATGAAGCGGTTATGAATAACACGTGCCAAGCATGTGTACCGGGTTTTACCCCCGGGAAGAATTTATCATCGTGTTTGAAAATGGATTTGATTTACATAAATATGGACACGCCATTAGCGATTGTTTTGGCTGTGTTTTCAGTACTGGGTATCATTACTGACTTCGTATTTCTTACTGCTTTCATTGTGTATAGAAATCACCCGCTTATCAAAGCATCAGGTAGGGAGATGTGCTGTGTAATATTTGGCGGAATCGCAACGATTTTTATAACTCCTTTAACAACACTGGTGAAACCTACCCCGGGAATTTGTTACACACGGCGAATCCTTGCCGGCATTTCCTTCACAATATGTTACGCA